AGGGCAATGAATGTACAAATGTGCTTTACACAATTGATGTATGTATGGATTGTGATAAGAGTCTTATGAGCCCCTAATAAAACGATTTAAAAAAAAAGGAAAGAAATGAAGTTGGTGATATTTTACCTATAAGTAGGTATCAGGAAACCTAGAGAATTATTTTAACATATGTTAAGTTAGTGTTTTCTCAAAAGTCCCTAATCCACATGGTATTCAATCTTATTTTTGCTTCTACAGTCAAAAATGCTGACCTTCAGAAATATGTTACTTCTTTGAGGAATACATGAATATTTTCTGGAATGATGCCTGTTAAATTTATAGAGCGTTCAGACTACTAGGATTTGGTCCAGTTGGGATGTTGGTTAAATATTAATAACATTTTCTAATTAGCTTTAGGTTAACAAAAGCCTCATTTATCATATGTATTTATCTATTTTATTCTATAAGTTGTGGACATCAAATAGTGATCTCAGCACCGGAATCAGAGTCTGCTACAGACTGCCACAGTGGACAATCAGGTGAGAAACACATGTCGTGCGTGTTTTAAAGTTTAAGACCAAATTCTTAACTCTGTTTATTTTAGAATGAGTTTACCTCTCTGTAAAATAAAAATTATACTCTGTGAAAATATTTTGGATCCCACACCTGCCCTCCTTCACAAGGGAAAACAAGAATCCGTCTCCTCATGGGCAGAGGTGAGACATGTCTCCACCCTCCATCAACCTTCTTTACCTCTTCTGACACCAGCCATAGCTCCCACAACACTGCCTGCCGCTGGGTTGGCTAATCTGTTGCAATAGCCACAGAGAGCTCATGGACAGAACTCACAATTATGGGAGCTCATCAGGGAAGTTACTACAAGTCACGATCAGTAAACAGTACGGGTACGGTCATTCAGTGGACCATGTAAGATATTAAAATTATAATAATTTATAATTTACCAAGGGTTCATGAGGGTGGGAGGGTGGGGCAGGGAGGGGGAAAAAATGAGAAGCTGATACCAAGGGCTCAAGTAGAAAGAAAATGCTTTGAAAATGATAATGGCAACATATGCACAAATGTGATTGATACAATTGATGTATGAGCTATGAGTCCCCAATAAAATTCAAATTTAAACAAGGATACAGCCATTGATCCACAACAGTGCCCCTCCTCAGCCAGCTGCCATGTCTCTTTCTCTGTCCTCGGCCTCCGAGCCAGTGGGTCTGTTGGGTTCTGACTTGGCTTTGATAGAGGTGTGGTTTTCGTCTTTCCGCAGACCATATCCCCAAAGGTCACAAAGGGTGGCGACTTGTTTCACACCCTTTAGTACAGGTGTCCTCAAACTACGGCCTGCGGGCCACATGCGGCTCCCCAAGGACATTTATCCAGCCCGCCGGGTGTTTTTGCCCTGTTTGTTTTTTTACTTCAAAGTAAGTTATGTGCAGTGTGCATAGGAATTTGTTCATAGTTTTTTTTAAAACTATAGTCCAGCCCTCCAACGGGTCTGAGGGACAGTGAACTGGCCCCCTGTTTAAAAACTGTGAGGACCCCTGCTCCAGTATGGTGGAGACTTAGACTACAGTATCCCTCCAAAATGGGATAACCCCAGGCATAGAAGCTAGAATTTACAATACACCACTGTAGGGATTATGGACAGAAGAGCCATGTTAAAAAAGTTCACTTTGTTCCTACTGTTTTACTTATTTCACTCACTCACTGTCATTGAGTCAATGCCAACCCAGAGTGACCCTATTGAGCAGGGTAGAACTGCCCCTGTGGGTTGATTAGTTATACCATTCTAAAGTATTTGATACCCTCGAGCTAGAAGTATTACTGATGAGGAAATTATAACTACCTTGTTGTTGTTAGATGCCACCAAGTCTGTTTCTACCATAGCGACATGCACAGCGTCACCAAACCCTGACAGATCCTGCGCCATGCTCACGATCGTTCTATGCGTGAGCCCATTGTTAATGACTTTTAAAAGTTGGTGACTCAAACTGTCAGTGATAGTGAACTGTGTAAATCAAACCAGCAATCCCCTTGAATACAGCTAGAAAACATTGGACAAACTATTTTTTTAAATCTGCTTGAATCCATTGATGAACTAGCAAGCTCCAAACAATTACCAGTACAAGACGGGTTCTAGGAGCTGAGCCTGGAGTTTGAGTATGGAGGGTCCCAAGACTGATGAAGCGAGTGGTGCTGGCCCGCCCCAGTGGGAATAGCTTGGAAAACCCGAAATCATATGCCTGAAAGGATTATCCGCTCCTCTCGTTTCTCAAGTTGAATGAATATCATCTTGAATGGTTAGTGCGTCCAGCAGGTGGATAGAAGAAATGGTACACCTGTCTGGTGGAAGTTTCCACTGTCCAGGGTCTCAAATTAATTCTCTAAGCAGTGTTGCAATGCATTATCCCAGAACAACAGCAGGCTGGTCTCTATGTCCTGCTGCATTCCCACGAAGATAAACTGTGTTGGGTAAAAGACACACACTAGCTGCTTTGGAGACATCTGAGAGCAAGCTAGAATTTGAAGATCTCAGATTCCAGAGAAGAGACAGTGAGTAGTAACCCCGGTATTTCCCTGGGTTTTCCGCTGGTGTCTCTGAGGAACAAAGTCCAGTCCAAGCAGTGTTATTATTTATCCACACTTTACAGTCAGCAAAAACATACTGAAGGGCATTAAGGGCAAAAATCAAGATTTGAACCTACCTTTTCAGCAATTCAAATTCAATGAGCACTATTAAAAATATTTAACTTTAATAACAATGTATTTTAAAGTACACAGATCACAAGATTATAGCATAATGAATTTCCACAAATTTAACTTACCTATGTGATAAGCATCCAGATCAAGAACCAACATGTTACTAGCATCCCAGATTCTCCCCTCCTTTCAGCCGAGCATTCCTGATAGCACTGTTGGGTAAGTGTTGGACTGCTGACTGCAAGGTCAGTGGTTCAAAGCTACCAGCTGCTCCAGGAGAAAGATGAGGCCGTCTGCCCATGAAGACTTTTACACCCTTTGGAACCTTCATTAGCAGTGTGTTTGTATTTTGGTTTTGGTCCTGTCAATCGTATCCCCAAGAGTATCCATCTTTCTGTTTTTCAATAGACGCATTTTCCGTTGTGATGTGTTTTTGAACTCTGTATAAAGAGAATACATCTGTATGTCTAGCTTCCTCACTCAGAGTTATGTTTTTAAGAATCATTCATATTATTACACGTGATTGTAGTTCATTTTCTTTTCTTTGTAGTCTTCAATTTTGTGAATATTCCACAATTTGTTTATTCAATTTGCTATTGAGAGACTTTAGAGGAATTTCCTGATTAGGGTATTGCAAAAATAATCAATGGGAACCCCTTTTTCACGAATATCAATGAGTGTTTTTAGCTAATCCTGCTGCTCCCCTTTTTCCTGCGATTTTGGAGAAAGATTACTGTTCATCACCATGGTTGAGAAAAATGATAGTGTGACTTAATTTTTAGATGTGGCCTAATGTATTCATTTCTGAATATGAATTTAAAATTTTATATTCCAAGTCAAAGATGTCGGAAGTGGTTTCCATCAAGTTGGCAGGAAAGTTCCTATTGTAGTAACTAACTCTTTTTTAATGTTTGTCTATTTAATTAAAAAAAAGCTCACTTTTTGGGTATATAACAGTATTATTGGCACACGATTTACATAACATACATACAATTCAATAGTTCCATCATTCAGTCATATCAAGGAGAATTGTACAGTCATTACCATATCAATGTTAGAGCATTCCCCCCGCCCCCATGGTTAAATTGCCTTCAAAATGAGTTGTGCAATCACAGTCAGTTCTAGTGCTCCACTTCTTTGATTTATGATTAAATACGAGGTGAGTCGAATACGTGAAATGTCTGAGTTGCCTGAGCACAGGTATCTGGGCAAAATAATGCGCTATAATAGTGTCATCAAATAATTTAGATTGAATGCCAATATGGCTCATGTTTTCTGAGTAATTTTTCATGGTGACTATTTCTCTAATAAGCAGTCCATATAGAACGCCTAATTTGTGGAGGGATGGGGGGATGGTGAGGGCCCCAAATCCATCTGCAGAATATCTGGCCAGACTGAGCCACTGACAAATCCACTTTAGGCACAGGCAAGAGTCTCAATCAGCCTTACTGTCAGGAAGAGACCATGGTGACCTTGGTGATGCCGGATCGAACGCGATACTTGGTCAGCTGACCACCCTATAGACACGACATGAATTTGTTCTGGGTGTAAGTATCTCTTACTGGTTCCATGACAGAAATTTCATCCCTGGCCTTTTTATTATGGTTTTATAAGAGTTCTTCTCCTTCTTATGCATTATTAGTATTTTTTTTACATTATTAGTATTTTTGTCTGTAAACTATTATGCATATAGTATACTATTGTGTACCACTTTACCACTTTGTTTTATTGTGTTTCATTGTTTTCTGTTGGGTCTCCCAGCTGTGAAGCACAGGAGGAGTGGATGCAGAATGATAATAATGGATACAAAGGGATATAGGGAGGGAATAGAGTGGGCTGGGGGGTGGAGGGAGATAGGGAGGGGAAAGGGCATTCCGGAAGTAACTACTGAAGAGAGGAGCGGGGAGGGAGCACTAGAACGAACTGTGATTGCATGAATTCTCTGAAAGGTGATTTAACCATGGCGGGGGCGGGGTGGTGGTGGTGGTGGGGGTGCTTTAAAATTGATGTGGGGATGATTGTACAATTCTCCTAGATATGATTGAATGATTGAATTATGTGATATGTAAATAGCCAATAAGACTGTTGGAAATTAAAAAAAAATCAGTCCATATGGGCTGAAGTTTATTCCTACTTGTTTATTGCTATTTGTCTTTTCTTTTTGAAAGGTGAAGAAAAAAATGCCTTTTTCTCAAGAGACTCATTCAGACTTAAAGAGACGCAACAAGAAGAGAAGACAGAAAGGAGAGACGGCAAACAATTACTTCCAGACGTTGATAATCAACCAAGAGAAGAGGCACTGAGTGAACAAGCACCAAATGTAAAAGATTAAACTCTAAATATGATTATGCTAAGGTGAAATACAACACTAGTCAGTGCTAGTTTCATTATTTTGCCAAGGACAGGTTTGAAATGTAATAATGTTTTAGGTTTTTACTGAAAAGTAACTATAAGTCACGTAAGAAACTCGAAGGGAGACCCTGGGTTAAAATAATCCAGTCTTCATTAAGCATGAGTGACCAGTTGGATTCTTTTTCAAATACACATATTTTGTTATGTAGTGAGGATATTATTTTCTATTTGGGTATTTTCTTTCATGTGTATTTTCATATCTGGGAAACATGCGTAGTCAGGAAAATAACCTGTCAATAACGTCCTGTGCCAATGCTTTTTAAGTGTTGTTCTGAAAATTCAAAAGGTATGCTTTTAAGAAAATAAAGCCCTTCTATTCCTTTTGGGTTGTTAACCTAGTCACAAGGCCTAGATGAAAACATGAGGGTTTTCCTAATATCCTTTTATGTTTATAACTTGTAACATGAGAATAAAAGATGACTACATTTTTATTACTATTACATATTATAGCATTTTTATTTAGAAAAGTAATAAACTTATTAATAAGCATTTGATCCTTAGATGACTTGCTTATAGTGGTTTGAAGAATGTATTCCAAGAAATAAAAATATTAATAAGAATATTTGAGAATAACTATTCTAGAAAATAGCACACGGTAATTTGTAGTGCATCAATATTGTGTTCTCCCATCGATATGCACTTGACATTCTTTATAAGAGGTAAAGTGAAGTTTGCTCTATTTTCTCCTCCCTGTACAGAGTGAACAAGAATCATCACTGGATTTGATCTTAATAGAAGATCAAGACTCATTAATAGAAAAGATGAGCAACTGGAATTTTCAAATTTTTGAACTTGCAGAAAAAATGGGAGCGAAATCAGGACGGATTCTGAGTCAGGTGTGTTTGAAGTCTTTTCTCCTTTTAATGTGAATTTTTATATAAAAAACAAAACATCTTAAAAGAATGTTATTGATGTAGGCACTAACTCAGCATTATTTATTAAAAAACTTTTTTTTTTTCACCCCAGAATTTTTTCATTAGACGTGTGATTGAAATGTCTCCTGGGTGGTTCCTGCAGAGCAGTATTTGATTAACCTTCCCCTAAAATGCCACTCAGTGTAATTCCTTTAAGACCTTATTTCTGCAAGAACATAAGGAAGGCATTAATCTCACAAGATGCCTTCAGAATACTGTTGGTCATATTTATCTTCTTTTAACACCTCATTTTAGAATGAAAACCCATTCGCATGCCCATCAGTAAATTCAAGTGAACACCAAACCCACTGCAGGGGAGTCCATTCTGACTCACACAGACCCACTGGACAGGGCAGAAGTATAATCTGTAGGCTATAATCTTTGAGAAACAGGCTGCCCCGGTTTCCTCCCGTAAGCCAGCTGTAAATCTGAACCACCAGTCTTGTGGTTAGTAGCCTCACCCTTAAACCCTCAGCGCCAGAGTTTCTCTTTCAGTAAATTAGTGAAAGGAAAAATTTTAACTGGGGCGTGATGCTGTCAGCTTTCTCTGTTCTTTAAATGTTTTATTTAAGTATAAGGTTTTCCTTTTCTATTTTTTGGAAAGAAATTAGCTTAGAGAAAATTTTAGTGAATTAAATTAAAGAAAGCAAATCATAAAACCATGCTCAGCTACAAATAGGAATTCTGTTTTTTAAATTTAACTTTATTTTTAATTGATACTTAGGTTATGTATACCTTGTTTCAAGACACTGGCCTGTTGGAAATATTTAAAATTCCTACTCAGCAATTCATGAACTACTTTCACGCATTGGAAAATGGCTATCGAGACATTCCCTGTAAGTATCCACATATCTTATTTTTTATATTCAACTAATTCTTTTTAATGCTGTATTATTTTTCTATTCAGATAAACACTTGTTTTCTGTTTTGAGCTTACTTTTTTATGTTCTAAATTGTTCACAAATAGACACTTTTAAAGTTAGATATTTAGAAAACCTAGAGATTTAAAATCAGTACTCTACGACCTTGAGTTCCCTTACTATTGTTAACATGTTGGTATACATACCTATGTGTATCTCAAATAAAATGTGTTTAAACACGTCTCTGCAATCAGTAGATGCCTATAGACTATTCTTTTAGTAACACACGTACCTTAGCCTTGTTAGGATACCTCCCACATGAAAGGATACTTTTTGTGCCATGGGGAAAAATTAGTAAGATTGAATACTAATTTTTAAATAGAGCTCAAGTGGACACCTGCCCAAATAATTGAAGCTTTGCAACAAGTTTCAGGAATGCTGTTCTACATTACACACTTATTTTCAGATGAATCAAGTATTTTAAAGAAGATCTGGAAGACCTCAAAGATAAATTCAAGGCTTATAGATCAGCTCTGAAGGTGTAAGGATGGTATTTTAGGATTACAAAGGGGTAATCCTGATAGGTTCTCTAAAAGGACAGGATGATCATAAGGGTTTATTATGAATAAATTTAAATTGGTGAGAAAGAAGCCAGTAACTTTGTGCTGAGGAATTTGTTCCCATCATGACGATGTCCCTGCTCGTTCTTTGAGGGCAGCATGGATTGTCCTCTGAGAATTTCACTGGGAAACCTGAGCCATCCTCCTTAGAGCCTTGATCTTGCCCATTCAGACTTCTTTTTGTTCCTCATACTCAGAGAACATTTCAAAGGAACATTATTTGAATTCCTGGAGGGTGTCGAAACTGCCATTTTGACATGGAATGGTGTAAATTAAAGGCACCCTATGGCATTATGTACTACACATTGAACTGCTTACTGGAAAGTCAGTGGTTCAAACCCACTAGCTACTCCAGAAGAGAAAGGTGAGGCTCTCTGCCCACGGAAAGATTCAAATATCTCAGAATCCCCAAGAGGTACTTTTACTCTGTCCCTAGGGTCGCTATGAAATAGGATTGAGTCGGAGTCGGAATTGGCGCACAGCACTGAGGGCTGTTTTGTTTTGGTATAAACAGAAGAGCATACCGAATTCTTTAGGCAGAAGTTGAAGATGTGAAAACAGTGTCTATTGATGTATAGACCTAGATGGAGCATATGGCGAGAAGCAATAGCTTCACATTTTGAAGCATTTGTTTAATAAGGGTTTCTATCATTGTTGTAATGATACCTTTTGACTTACCCTTACATATCCTCCAACACTGTTTTTAAAAAGTAAATTTATTTATTATAAAATAGGTAATAATATTTATACCTATGTATAACCTGTCCTTTTCACTTTAATACTAGATGGTATACATATTTACATGTCAATAATAATTAATTTAAGTGCATTACCTTTTAAATGATTGATAATATTAAATGTCAGATCTTTCAGAAAATCTGTGACTTTAAAATGTTTTACATTTATCCTTGAGAGTCCTTTTTGACTGTATTCTGATTTGTAGGATAATCTTTACTGTCTATTTGGTTTCATAGTAGAATAGAAAGCGCATTTCATCTTAGGAAAAGGTACAGCTTTGTCTTTGTGTTGAGACATTCTGTAGTTTCTGTTTGGACACATTTTGTATTTGGGAAGTTAATTACATATAGAGAGCTCAACTTCTTAAATTGAATTAACTCATTGATAATGATATTGAATGATTTAAGATTATTTTTACTTATTAAAATTTCCACCTATAAAATATGCATTTTACAAAATAGCTGAGTTTTAGAAATGGAATGAAGTGATGCTGTCAGAGGGACACCAGAAGAAAGGAGGTAAAGAGAAAGAGGCAGTAAAGGGGCTTCGCTGTCAGGTTTAATAAGGGCTTATCAGTTAACAGCATGGAGTCTGGGATGGACTTTTCTGAACTTTAGCTTCTAAGTTCATCAATGGAATTAATAGTACATCCCCTTGGGAAGTGATAATATAAAGTAATCTGAGTAAGCATGTACCAGAATTCATGGTACGTAATAAATGTTCAGCAAAAGCTGTTATTCGAATCAATAATAATTAAACTCCTAGTGGGTCAACACTATTTCATTTCTGTAGCCCGAACACTCAGTGTTGTGTCATCTGCTAAAGATGCCTAGAGCAACGGTTCTCAACCTGTGGGTCGTGACCCCTTTGGGGGTGGAACGATCCTTTCACAGGGGTTGCCCGATTCATAACAGTAGCAAAATGACAGTTCTGAAATAGCAACGAAAATAATTTTATGTTGGGGGTCACCACAATATGAGGAACTATTTTAAAGGGTCGCGGCATGAGGAAGGTTCAGAACCACTGACACAGAAGGTACTCATTGTGGGGGACCAGTTTCCACAACCAAATGGGTCCAAGTGGCGGTTGTGTAACTGACAGTTAAATTAAAAGAACAACAGACAAGATATGCAAATGTTCACCTCTTCTATGGCAACCAGAACCAGCGTGAGGGGCGAATGTATTCTCTCACAAGCTTATCGTATATAACCTCGGGCATGCAGGCCATGTCACACACGTATGTAACAGGAACGAGACGAGCTAGGGGTACACACACAACAGGAAAAAGAGGTACTAGAGGCATACACGTGACAGGAAGAGCCATACGTAACAAGATGGGCGGTTCTAGAGTTAAGATGACCACCTCCCCTTGGTTGTCTCTGAGCTGGCTTGACCTTAAGTGTACTGAAGCTTATTTCTAGGGGAACAATCTGTGATCCTTATCAGAAGGGAGTGGGCTCTACTTAGGGTTAAATGGTCAGATCGCTTTTGAGGGCACACACCCTTCAGGCAGAGAGCCTTCAAGGGTATAATAGCAACCATGTGCTTGCAAACAGCACCTGAAAATTGGCATTTTTATGGGGGACATTGCAGAAAATAACTTTTACTTAGGAGAATGTAACTGGGATGCATCTCCAACCCACAGACATGAAGGCCTCCCTCCACGAGAATCTTGGGCTCCCAGACTCCTTAAAATATGAGTGTAGAGTATTTGTCCACATATACTTTCTTCCCAGTTCTCAGTTTCCCGCAACTCATAAAGCATTTATTGAATTGTGGAGCTTTCCCTGGGTATCTACTCTAACTATGATCACTAGGTTCCTGTAGATCTCCTCATGTGATCTTCATGGGGAATTGTATGGTCTACCTTTTCTAGGTGCGAAATAAAAGGTCAAGGATCTTTCCCAAGATCACAAACCTAGAAATAGCAATGCTGGTTTCAGTTCTGCATCTGCCTAACTGCTAGAGGCTTTAACAGGACCTTTCCCCATAGTGTTATTTGTATAAACCAGTGCTTTATTGAGCACATACTGTGTTTCAGACACGGTATCAGGTGATTTCTTGTACCATAGTATTTAGTCCTTATAACGATACTGAGATATAGATATTTTTCATCTTAGCTTTGTGTCCATGCACGCGCGCGCGTGCGTGTGTGTGTGTGTGTGTGTGTGTGTGTGTGTAAGTATAAATATCCAGAATTTGTAACTATTCTGTTTTGAGTATAAATATGGTGACTCCAGAATCCAGAATCTGTCTACATGATGTTTTTAAAATAGCAGCCTATTTCTCAATGCTTCTCAGTTAGCCCTAGTTACTCTGCCTTTTTATTTAGCTTCATTGCTAGATTTTTATAGTGTATATATAGGGTTTTAAACATTTTACCACATCAAGACACTTCAAGGGTAAATGAAGCAAACTAGAATTGTGAGAAGTCATGTGTTTTATTTTTGATGTTAGAGTAGGACTCCAAAATTCTTGTATTTTAAAAATGTCCTATGTGAAACATACCATGATCATTTCTATAAAACACTTTGCTGACTTTAGATCACAATCGAATACATGCCACAGACGTCTTACATGCGGTTTGGTATCTGACAACACGGCCAATTCCTGGTTTTCAGCAGGCCCACAATGATCGTGGATCAGGCAATGAACCAGGTATTTCCTTCCACAAATCTTTCATTTAATTATTTGATTAGAAATTATTAATTAAGCTGTCTCAGTTTATTAACTCTGTTCGATTAAAATTTTTATTAAATAACTTGTTACATGTAAAGGACTACTGTATAAGTTTTGATGTGTAATAATGGCATGGAAACTTGGAAATCTAGTACCTGTCTTTTAAAAATTTTTTTATCAAAAGGTCATTTTATTAAAAGATCATTGGGGGCTCTTACAGCTCTTATAACAATCCATACATCAGTTGCATCAAGCATATTTGTTATATGTGTTGCCATTGTTATTTTCTAAACATTTACTTTCTATTTGAGCCCTTGGTATCATGATTCTGTACATTGAAAATCTCAAAAGCTCCACAACAGGAGTATTGACAGTGATAGAGGAATATGGAAGAGTGGCAGGATACAAGATCAACAAACAGAAGTCTATTGGTTTGCTGTATACACCGAACAAGACCATGGAAGAGGAGATCAAGAAGGTAGTACCCTTCACAATAGCTAAAACAAATGGAAATGTCTAGGGACAGCCAGGAAGACAAAAGACTTATACAAGGAAAACTACAGGACCCTATTACAGGAAACCAAAAGTGACTTCCACAAATGGAAGAATCTCCCATGATTGTGGGTCAGAAGACTCAATGTAGTAAAGATGTCAATCTTACCCAAGGCACTATATAAGTTTAACGCTATCCTGATTCAAATACCAACAGCCTTCTTCAAAGAATTGGAAAAACTGACCACCAATTTCACATGGAGAGGGCAGAAGCCCAGAAATAGCAGAAAACTCCTCAAGAAAAAGGACAAAGTTGGAGGGCTCGCTTTACCTGACTTTAACACCTACTACACAGCCACAGTGGTCAAAACAGCGTAGTGCTGGTAAAATGAGAGCTACTCAGACCAATAGAAAAGAACAGAAAACCCAGAAATAAAACCATCAGCATAAAGACAACTGATCTTTGACAAGGGCCTCAAAAGCATCACTTTAACAAGTGGTGCTGCAAACAATGGATATTCACCTGTAGAAAAATGAAACAAGATTCTTACCTCACCCATGCCCAAGAACAAACGCCAGGTGAATCACAGATCTAGAAGTAAAACCTCCAAACTATCAACCATCACTGAAGGAATCAGACAAACTTAAGGATCTTGGCTCAGGGACTACATAGGCTAACTGCAATAGGGTAGGGTACACACACACCTGAAATCGACAAGTGGGATATGCTAGAGATAAAACACCTGTATGCATTTAAAGACAACCAAGAAAGTAACAAGGGAACCCATGGATTGGGAGAGGATTTTTAGCAATGACACAACAAAGGGCTTATTACTAAAATCTACAATACCCTTCGATCCTGCAAAAAGAGAACACTTAGCGCCCTGAGGAAGTGGGCAAAAGACCTGAAAAGACGTTTCACTAGGGAGGAGGCCAGAATGGCCAATCAACATGAGAAAATGCTCCTGATCATTGGCCATCAGAGAAATCCAAATTAAAACAATGATGAGGTACGCCCTTGAGGATAGCTCAGATCAGAAAATCAGACAGCAACAAATGTTGGAGGGGATGTGGCAAGACAGGAACTCTCCTCCACTGCTGGGGGTCTTGTAGATACGTCCAACATCTGTGGACAGTGATCTGGCAATATTTAAAGCAAATGGAAATAGAGCCACCCTGTGACCCAGCTATCCCTCAACTGGGCATATACCCTGAAGAGGTAAGAAATAGACCACAACCAGTCCTCTGTGCTCCAGTGGTAACTGTGGCACAATTCACGATTGCAAAGAATTGGAAACAACCCAAATTTCCATCAATAGACGAGTGGATTAGAAAACTCTAGTACCTGTTTTATGAGCTAGAGTATAACCAGGACTACCAGATCTACTGTTTTCTTCTCCATACTGTGTCTCACAGAGGGAGGCATCTGAAGGCTTGCAGCAGTAGAACCGCTTGAGTATAGGTCTTCTCGCTTGCTTCTCAATAGACATCCCAGGAGTGTCCCCTTCATCAGGATGTTCAGAAATGCATTTCAACATGAATTCCTGGGGAGTGAAACACCACTTTGATCCAGTAGCTGGGGAGGGGGTTATGGAATTGAGGTAAAAAATGGATTGGGGGTCTTGGTTCATCTCATAGCACTAGTTCCCTAAACATCCATTTTCTGAATACATAGTTGGAATAAACATGAAATGTTCATTAACTGTAAAGCTATGACTTTTATGTGCTACCCAAAGGAAAAGAAGGCTGAAAAGCAGTTTCAGGGTGGTGTGCAAGCTGCTCTTCAACTTGGGCACCTGACTCCTGGTAGACCAAGCAGTGTTCTAAGTGTCTTTGGCAGACAGTGATCCCCTGGGCCACTTCGGAGAGACGTTTACAAGAAAACCGGAGTGTAAATCCTCAGAGTTTTCTTGCAAAACCAAGTTTTCTTCCTCAAATAACTATTTTCTTTTTTGAAAAACAGGTCCTAGCTTTTGGGCTCTGGTAGCTTATGAATAGTTAACCATGGATGTGGGTAACCCCTTGTCCTGCCCATGAGAGCCACTCTGAACAGCCAGTCTTGGAAATCAAGGGGCCTCATTACTTGGGTGTTCAACTGATTTTGCATATTGGGCTTATAAAAGTTCATCTTTGATGAACTTTTTATTAGTTCTAATGAACTATTTTGGAGTTTACTTTAGAAAAAATTTTTATTGGGGCTCGTATAACTCTTATCATAATCCATACATCCATCCATTGGGTCAAGCACATTTGTACATTTGTTGCCATCATTTTCAAAACATTTTCTTTCTAATTGAGCCCTTGGTATCAGCTCCTCATTTTCCCCCTCCCTCCTCCCTCCCTCCCTCCAGAACCCTTTGACAATTTATAAATTTTTCATGTCTTACACTGACTGGCGTCTCCCTTCACCCACTTTTGTCTGTTCCCAAGGAGGTTATATGTAGTTCACTGTGATCTGTTCCCCCTCTCTTCCCCCACCTTCCCCTTCTCCTTCTGGTATCTGTACTCTCATTGGTCCTGAGGGGTTTATCTGTCCTGGATTCCCTGTGTTTCCAGCTCTTATCTGTACCCTTGTACATGCTCTGATCTAGCCGGATTTGTAAGGTAGAATTGGGGTCATGATATGGAGTGGAGTGGGGGAAAGGAAGCATTAAAGGACTAAAGGAAAGTTGTATGTTTCATCGGTGCTATACTGCACCCTGACTGTCTCATCTCCTCCTTGTGATCCTTCTGTAAGGGGATGTCCAGTTGTCTACAGATGGGCTTTGAGTCTCTACCCTGCACTCCCCCTCATTCACTGGAGTTTTCTATATATAAGATTATATCATCTGAAAATAAAAGTTTTACTTCTGCCTTTCTCATCTAGATGTCTTTTAATGAAACCTTCTTATAAGTCAGGCAGCCAATTACAAGAATCACCTTTTTCTGAAATAAAGAAAATAAGATAGTTTTATATTTGCATAAATAATTAGATTTAATTAACTCTTTGTTAGCTATTTTCTTATTTTTACTACTGATTTCATACTAAATGTTCACAGACTTGTATATTAAAATCAGAATTTGACAAGTCTATGGACTTTAAAAAGGATATCTTTTACTACTTTTGATACTTTAAGATATATTTTGAAATTCTAGGGCAAATCCAGAATATATATAACAGAAAAGAAAAGAAATTATTGGTTTTGATGCTAACAACTGAAGTCTTTTTTATTAGAAATGTCAGTGTTTAAATATACCCTTATGCATATGTTTGAGTATAGATTTTTTTCTGATTATATTGAAAATAGTTCCAGTGAATATTTCTAAAATCTCAGTTTAAAAAAATATAACAAAATCCCACTTTAGGTTTGAAATGTAATCTAAACAATATGAAAATAATGATTTATCTTTATAATTATCTCAGGATCAAGAAATAGTTATTGCTTGTCTGCATTTAGATTGTATGTGTGTGCATTAAAGTATTTTGTTTAAAAATCCTTGGGATGGCAACTGTGGAGAATCCTAATGGGCCTATTAAGTAAATGGCTTCAGGGTCCTACTTAACACTGTTCCTCTCTATTAGCATCTGCAATGGAAACTGTATACAGAGGGCTTCAAAATGTTCATGGAAAGGGGGAATAAAAAAAAGTAATGAAATTCTTCCACGAGCGATTTGAAGTCTCTTTGCACCGGTTTAAGGGCATGCTTCTCAAAGATGGTCTCAAGGGTCTATTTCTTAGGTAAGGTAAAAACCATAACAACAGCACACTTACATTACCTGTGGGGAAGTTATATGTCGCTGTCATTTTTTGTTCTGTTTTTGTTGTTCCTCAGATTCTGATGGGAGAATGAACCCCGGGCGGACTTCTTTCATCTCATCGAAGAGTTGTTCTGTTCCAGATGGGAGCTATGGCTGCCTGTCTGCAAACATCCCTGCCCTGGAATTGATGGCTCTTTATGTGGCAGCAGCTATGCATGATTATGACCACCCAGGGCGAACAAATGCCTTCCTGGTGGCCACAAATGCCCCTCAGGTAGGAAGTACTTCTCCAGAAAGTTATGCTTGAAGTTTTACAGTCATGCTTCAAACCTCTTTGCAAACAATTCTTCAGTGGAATCGCATCGCCATTCCATCTTACTCTTGACACCTTCGCGGTGGCTATCAGCTGATGCTGACTTGAACGTGCCATAGGGTTTTTAGTGGCAGAATTAGTGCAGACTTGTTGGAAGTAAATTACCATGTCTTTCTTCTAAGGTGTCTCTGAATAGTCCCTAACTGCCAATCTTTTCATTAGTAGCTAAAGTACATTAACCATTTGTACCACCCAGACTCTCCCAAGACCCTGTGATGTAATTAATTGGATAGTAACACACAGTCTGGGCACCATGTCTGCTAGGGATTGGGAAAACATTACCTTCTTCAATTAGCAAATAAAGGACCTAGTTAGTAATTCGCTGATTTGTGAAATTCTGGGGTGCAAGCTGTCTACATTTTCGCATTTTGTCAAGTTGATAAAACTCTTGGACTAGGTCTAAGACATACTCTTCCTTCTGGCTAAGTTCATGTCCGGAAGCTATAATGAAGTTGGTTTCTTTTGTTGGGACACCTAAATCCTAAGACACCTATCTGAATATATTAGTGTATGTGAAAATTCTTTGAGTACAATATCATTTTTGTGTCCAATATAGTTGATAAGGTGAAACATTCATTTTTAGCCACAATTTGCATAAAGAGGTGGCTTCAAAACTGAAAAACAGATACTGTAATTTAATAGTCTTTAGCCATTAGGACTTGGAACTAAAAGTAATGGTTTTAGGTCGAATTCAGTATGGCTGTGAGTGTTTTAGGCTGGCGATTCCTGAAATGCCATCTCTGTGTTTCCAGCCTCATGTCTTACAAAGGAAGGAGAGGTGATCAGTAATGATCTGCTGAATTGATTTGACTTCTTGAACTTTATCACTCTGTCAGTTCTGATTCCTTCTTCATCTGTAGCCATTTTATGTATTGCTTCTCATTTCTATTTCTTTCATACACTGTCATTTTAAAAAATATAATAAATTCTCTACTCAGAATAAGAAATGGATTCATTGTATGTGTGCATGTATGAGAGAGAACATGTGTGAGTAGTTCCTGATTTCTACTGGTATCTTATTGATGGATTTCAATCTAGCTATTAATATTTACCCATTTTGTAAGATTCTGGGGGGAGAAATTACACATATTTCCCCCTAATTTCTCATGGTTATAAATTGTCTGTAAACATTTTTTAATTGTCTATAGATGAAGCAATGGGGAGTGATGGAATGGAAGCAAAACTAGTTAGAGATTTTAGCTATTTTAATTTATCTTTAAGCAAAAAATATAGCTTCTTCACCTAAGTCTTCTTGCTTGAATCCCTGCCACATTTCCATCTCTCTGGAACACACAGCAGTCCGATAAAGCTGTGAGGTTTTCTGACATAATAAACCTCCAACCAGTGAGATCAGAAAAAGAAATGAGCAAACTCCGAATTTCTTCACCGTCTAAATTACCCTTTGAAATGATCAAAGAAATCTAAAATACGGCAAAGTATAGGTTGGTAGTAGAATCTAGAGATAATCACTGTACTGGAAGCTTCAAAGGCCTAGTGCAAATGAGGAAGGATTGAAGAAAGGCCATCTGAGGTGCTGCTTTGCAAAAGGCAAACTCTGCCGAGAGAGTCAGTGAGTGGGGTCCCCTGCTGGGCGGACCCCAGGTAAACTCACTGTACACTGTGCTTTGTGGAGCCAAGAGTTGCATTCCTGGTTTCTGAACAGACAAAATTGTGCTGATCGTTTCTCACTCTTCATCAGAACTGAGCATGAAGTAGTCACATTCCTAGTCAATATAAATTCGTGCTTTAGGAAGTCTTTGACGCTTACTCTTTCTCTTTGAGATTTACATTTAGAAATTGTCTTAAGCCTATTATGAAATACTTTTAAATGGCCCATTGAAACATTTAGATCATATCATGGCTTACAAAAAAATCACATGGTGTTTTAAAAAATTGGTTCTGAAATCTCAGTTTTAGCTATATTTTTACAAATATGAAGTTACCTCATTACTTTTGGCTCCATTCCCATTCAGGGTGGCCCTGTCCAGCAGACTAGAGCGGTGTGATCAGATTTCCAGGGCTGCAATCCTGACAGACGCAAACTGTCACATCTTGCTCCCCCAGTGGAGCTGTGGGTTCCCACCCCTGACCTTTTGGTTAGAAGCTCAGTGTTAACAACAGCACAACAGCGTGCCTTAATTAAGTAGAACTACTTAATTTAATTTTTAATTAAGCTCTCAGAATATATATCTTAACAAAGGTTATATTCTGTTTTTATCCTTTTCTCTCTCACTAAACAAGATAAGCGCTGTAAAAATAGGAGTAGATTATTATTCCCATCCCTGGTCTTGCACAACTTGAAAGTGGAGTTCATTTAGTAGTTAATTTGCTCTTTTAACAATGTAAATATGTTTTGTTTTAATTTTAGAGTTGAAGGAGGTTTTAGGAATTCTGCAATCTGATGATTTTGAATCTGTATCACAAAGTCCTTGAGCACCGAAGAGGCGCATCAGATTCTTCCGTTGGGGCTAGGTGGGGAAAAAGTCAGTCGTTCCAAGACCTGGATTGCCATCTTAACGAGAGGATTTATGATTTTGCTTGCTTTACACGTCTTGGGCCAGGCACTGTCTCAGGAGGAGAGTCTTGTTGAAGTTCTTTGGACAGCCCTTGGCTTCCTTTTCATTCATTACCGTCACCGTTGATGCCATATTAGCTATAAAACAGAAACCGATCTCTAAACTTGCTCTTCATCCCTGATAACCTTGTATCTGAGATAGTTTGCTAATTAAATAATGTAGGCCTCACAATATCAACTTTAAATCTCTTGGAGACAGCATGATATCTGGAAAGACTTGTATTTTGGAGTCAGACAAATCTGACATCAAACATCTCCCCTCTTATTTTCATGGAGTCCAGAAGTCCTGGAACCATGCAAGCTGGAATGGAGACCTGAAACTACTGCCTTGAGATACTTTTAACTTTCAACCAGAACTCTCCCTAGAAGTCTTCTTAAATCCAAAAACATGGTTTAACTTGGCTAGTGAACGTGTCCTGGTGGCGTTGATGAGGTTCACGTGTTGAGCTGTGTAGCCTCCAGGTCAGCAGTGTAAACCCACCAGCTGCTCCAAGGGAGAAAGATGAGGCTTTCGGCTCCCGTAACGGTGCAGTCTCGGAATCCCACAGGAGCAGTTCCACTCCGTCCTGTCGGGTCACTAGAGCCAGCGTAGACCCAATGGCAGTGACTTTGGTGAGTGGAAACATCTGTCTGCCTTGAGCTTGGTGCTCTTATCAGCTAGCCACAGGGATCCAAATGTCAGCAGCAACTCAGAAGATGAGGTGGGACGCTGTGGGGGTAGTGAGCCTATGTAAATTTGGCTGGAACAATTTAGAAAAGGAAGTAGGAATGGTTGCCTAACTTGAGGAATGTAATTATTGTCACCAAGATGGGCATATAGCAATTGTTGAATGGGTATAGTTCTGTGGTGTATATTCCCAACAACAAGACACATAAAATATAACTGTTAATTTTTTAATCAAGCTTTTCACTTACTACATGTGTGCCCCAGAAGGAAGGAATCCCTCAATGTCTTTGTCCTTCAGCCTACTCATTTCTAAAATTATTACGACCTTCCTTCCCAGCTATCCAAGTACCGGCAGAATGCCTGGCTGATCATAGGATTCAAACCCAGCCTTCCTGGGAGAAAGATTTCAAGTTTGGAAACTTTCAATGTGGTTGCTGTGACCAGAATCCACTCAGTGGCAGGGAAAGCGTGCACTAATCCTCTCTCTTTCCCCTTTTCAGGCAGTTTTATACAACGACAGATCTGTGCTTGAAAATCATCATGCTGCCTCAGCTTGGAATCTGTATCTTTCTGGCCCAGAGTTCAGCTTTCTTCACAATCTTGATCATGTGGAATTCAAGCGCTTTCGTTTTTTAGTCATTGAAGCCATCCTTGCCACAGATCTTAAAAAGCATTTTGATTTCCTTGCCGAATTCAATGCCAAGGTTTGTTGCACAAATTAATGCTTGTTTGAAAAAATGCAGATCATTATTGTCAGTGTTACTGATAACAGGTGTTCCTTAATGTTCAGTTACCATTAATACTCACGAGGTCACAATAAGTGTCTGATATTATATATATGTATACCTATATATTTTTAAAGATGAAACATTTTTGCCATTATGGTAACAGGTCCTGAAGTGCCATTGCTCACTGTATTTCCTATCTGATGTATAGATTTTACATTGTTGTGATTTTCTTTCACATAACCACACACCAATGAATTATGACTAAAGCTTTCATGGGCCAATTTCAGAAAGTTGTATACAGTGCCAAGTAAGACATTACCTGAAATGAGAGATGTGTTTCTAAGGAGCCTATCCCGCCAAACTGTTAACCTTTTTTATATTAGTGATTCTTAACTTACTGGTACAGGGGAGGCTATTTACTCCACTTTATGTCATTGGTGATTAATTCATTCATTCAATAATTGTTGGCATTGTCCACTATGTTCAGTATTAAGCTAAAGTGAAAAATGAGGAAGTAAAAGGTGCTACCCTTACGGAATTCAAATGCACTAGGTAATCCGGATTCATTGCCCTACATGATAGTGGTTTTAATGGAAGTCTGTTCCAGCTCTTAGACATTTGGGGGTCCGAAGGAAGCATGCCCCCTTTTGCTGGCAGGAGGCTGCTCCTTTCCTAATGACTTCAGTGACCTAGAAGAAGCTGCACCTTAGGGTCGAGGGACTAGTAACATAGGAGGGGTACCAGCTCACCACCGAAAAAGGAAACCCTAACATAGTGTGATTTTGATATTTATAAAATGTTTAAAATAGTTAGCAAGAAAGCCAGGCCCCTTAAAATTTATATTGTGTAGTTATATTAACTTGTATTTTTATTTAATAAAAAAGTCTAAGTATTTAAGACAGAGTAGAAGTTTTTATAGGTGGAAAAAAAAATCTGTCCCAATAGTTTTGCATCTGTGTTTCTTAGAGACTTCCGTTCTCAGAGACTTCTGCCAGTGGTAGAGGAATCTTTTACCGGATAAGTAATAAGTCTTTCAAGAAAAATGCTTGTTGAGTGAAGTTCTGGACCTCCTACTCTGTTTCAACCCAAAGTGCGCTTTTAAAAATTATTTCCTGTGTTGATATTCTACAAAAATTTTCCTTTGACAAAGGGATGCAAAGAAACAACCAGCACAATAAAATTCAAAATCACTAATCTGATTCACCCTCTTCATTTTTTTTTTTTTAAACATTTTATTAGGGGCTCATACAACTGTTATCCCAATCCATACACACATCAATTGTGTAAAGCGCATTTGTACATCGTTTCTCAAAACATTTTCTCTCCATTTAAACCCCCGACATTAGGTCCTCATTTTTCCCCTCCCTCCCTCTTCATTTTTTTTAAGTGGCTGTTTGAGTTCTTAAAAGGCACAGTATTTGCCTACATAATAATAATATTGCTCATTTATTTAAATAATACTATTATGATTTATCTGCCATTTATTATGAATTAGATATTTTTCACTTAAAATCTCCATAATAATATGATGAGTAGTCAAAACATATTGCTACAAAACCATAGAACCCTATTTTAAACAAAAACATCCAGATGTGAAGCTGTTACTTCTCTACAGATCCTCCATGCAGGACTTCCATCCATCTAGCCCAGTGGCTCTCAGCCTGCCTCATGCCGCGACCTTTTAATAGAGTTCCTCATGTGGTGGTGACCCCCAACCATAAACTTATTTTTGTTGCTATTTCATAACTGTAATTTTGCTACTGTTATGAATCATAATGTAAAATCTGATATGCAGGTTGTATTTTCATTGTCAACAAGTTCAAGATAATTAAAGCATAGAGATTAATCACAAAACAATTTGTGATTATATATTGTGAAATATGTATTTCTAATTACAAATAAATGAAAATTTGTCTTTCAGCAGGGTGTAGCCTGGGTAACAGTCTTCATGCCGGGTACTCGTATGTGGGCGTATCTGCATGTGGGCGGACCTAAGACCATGGGAAATATGTGTTTTCTTAGGCGAGGCCCAAAGGGGTCGTGACCCATAGGTTGAGAACCGCTGGTCTAGTCCTTCCCTGAAAATTCTGTGCTTTGATTTACAGTAGAATGTCAAAATGGCATATTTGGCATGCTTGAGGGACTCCATTTGTGTTGCTTTGAAACGTTCTTTGAGTTTGGGGAGCACAAAAAGAAAGGTCCGAAGGGACGGGATCAGGCCCTAGCGTGGATGGGGCACAGTTTCCCAACGAAATCCGCACCGGGCAACCCTTGCTACCCTCAAAGAATGAGCAGGAGCATTGCCGTGATGGGAAAAACTTTTTCAGCACAACTTTCCTGGCCTTTTCCCCACCAGTGCAGTTTTTAATTTTCTTGAAATGTATTCATAATTAGTCCTTGCGAGCAATCCTGTGTCCTTGGAGAAAAATAATATCAAGATCACTCCCTTACAGTCCTGTAATGTACCTGCCATACTTTCCGAGCTGACCTTTCTTCCTGGAATTCATCTTGGAAGACTTCCCCCCCTTCCTTAACATGTTTGCTCCATCTAAAGACTGCTTGCTATCTTTGGAGGCTGCAATGCCATCCACTGGTTACAAAGCTTCACGGATGCAGGGCGATGTCCACTTGAGTTGTGTTAAAATTTTGATGTTTGCCCTGACTTCAAACTAATTTTATGTCCTGGCAGAGTGTTCTTTTATTTTGGTTGGTTGTTTTTGAAGACCCCCTGACAAGACTCAGACAGGAGGATTACTGAGAGACTTGTCTGAGCTCATCTACTGATCTTAGAGACATGTTTAAAAGCATTGTGCTTGGAATAAGCCCTACAAGTCTAAACTGGAATATTACTAGTAATACTAGTATCATTTCCCTATTTTTTACATGAAAAAAAAGGCTGGAAAAAGCTAAGTAATTTTTCCAGTGTTACACACTGAATTATTAAGTCAGGCTCAGTCAGAATTTAAAATCAGAGAGGTCAACTTCTAAGACATGTGTTTTCAACTCTATCATGATTCCCTTTCATAATTAGAGCCAAGTTCTCCTTAGTTCCTTAAGTGTCCTTTTTTGAGAAAGGAATATAATTTACCTCTAACTCTCACATGACATTCATATTAGATATATCAATGTGTATTATGCATTATATATAAAATGATTCTGCGGTAATCACAACATTGAAATCCACAGTTTATTTAGTTTCTAAAGAGTTCTGCTTCCACGGAAACAAAATGATGCGTCAAATAGGAAATGTAATCAGCATGGTAGTGGCACGTGTTATTGACTGATTTGAAGACACATTTGCTGACATACCATTTGCACAGGAAACAATCTTAAGATGATTGGGTGAAATCCTGTGTGCCTCAGAGCCTAAAATAATCATCTTTTTTTCAAAACAGGCCAATGACGTAAATAGCAATGGGATAGAATGGAGTAATGAAAATGATCGCCTCTTGGTGTGCCAGCTATGCATCAAGCTGGCAGATATAAACGGCCCAGCAAAAACTCGGGACTTGCATTTGAAGTGGACAGAAGGCATAGTGAATGAATTCTATGAGCAGGTAAGTTACCATGTGAGATAGTTCAGCTTTTAAAGATGCTGTCACATGAAAAGTACTCTCTAAGATTTGGACATTAATTGCTTGAGATGAAGTACTTGAAATCTGAATTGCTTTGGCCAAAAGGAGTTAGTGATTGCGTTTGCTCTGGTTCTTAGCATCGTGTCAGCTTATTGCTTGAAGTGAGTGGGTGAGTGTACTGTTGCGTTTAGGAGTGATGGTAGACTACATTATGTCTCTTTTAACCCTGAAAGTATATTATCTAGAATAATTTCCATATGAAGTGTTTTAAAAAAATGATTTAGGGTATGTGCAGAATATATTTAAATAATAGCAACTCATTTTTGCTTTCTGATAGAGAAAGACTAAATACCTGGCATAGAAATATTAACAGGGCAGAAATCCAGACAGGAAAAAAAAAAGAGAAATCAGAGGCCTGGAAACAGAGACAGAGACAGAGTAGATATTTAGTGGTTTTCAGAGATATAAACATGCTCTTTTCTTAATGTAAAAAACCCTAAAATTTTCAGTACCTGTACAATTCCCACCCCCCTTAATTTTAAGGTTCACTACAATGTAAAGTACACAATTTCCTCAAGCGCCTCTTAAATTGTTAAGTCAGAAATATCAAAGATACTTCTTGACCTTGGACTTGGGATCACTTGTTGGCAATATTAAGATTGCTAGCAAGTGAGGCCATTGCAACAGAGTTTTCTTTTCATGAAAAGTTGCTACTTGTCCTGAGTAGGAATGGTGAAATTGTGCCTACATAATCATATATATAATCCCCTAGATTGTATTGAACAACCAGTAAATGTATGATCTCTTTCATTCACCTTAGCGCAACACAATTATCTATACTTTGGTGTTCACAAGTTACCCAATACCATATTGTATCATCATGGAAACATAAAAGTTTCTCAAGGTGATTAAGGCCCAAAGTCAGGTTTTGAACCCACGTCTGGCTGACTTCTAGGTGTGCTCTTTAGAACTCTAGGAGCCACAGTGGGGATATCAATAGGCAGGCGGCAGGCTTTTGGGACTCTGGGCCTAAAATTCTCCCTTCAATCACAGTAGCTTTTCTTCGACCTTTTGTAAGTATTGGCTCTCCTGATTTAGATTCATTAAGTTAACGTGTCAGCAAAAGCAGGAGGAGTAATTTGAAATGCACTTGCAAAATTCAACTCTGCACATTTGAATTACAACCAGAGCTACGAGAAAAAAAAAATTTATTTTAACTTATTTCATCTTCCATCAGGAGAAAGAGAAATTATAGTTTGCATGACAGAGTTTTGTAGGTGGGTGCAGAATGTGAGACTAGCCTTGTTTAGGATTTCTCAAACACTGGGGATGTCTTATAGTTGAAGTGACAGAGTAGGTGTTCGGTAAGGCTTCTTGGTAGTTTGATGTAGGCTTTGTCAACTCAAACACCCAAGATAATTTTAACAGCTTAGTTGTGCTTCCATCAGTTACACTTTTTCTCTTCTTGCTAACATGATCAGGGAGATGAAGAAGCAAGTCTTGGACTACCCATCAGCCCCTTCATGGATCGTTCCTCACCTCAACTAGCAAAACTCCAAGAATCTTTCATCACCCACATAGTGGGCCCCCTGTGTAACTCCTATGATGCTGCTGGTCTGCTCCCTGGACAGTGGATTGAAGCAGAGGAGGACGAGGACACAGAAAGTGATGATGAGGAAGAAGATGGTGAAGAATTAGATACAGAGGATGAAGAAATGGAAGACCGTCTAAATCCTAGTAAGAACACATGGATATTATCATTTCTTTAATGATGTAATTGCAAATGTCCACTTAATTTGGATTTAGATCTTGGTTTCAAGATACAGATTCAGGAGTAGTTTGACTACTTACTAAATGTTCCCATTCAGTAGACTATATTTTGAATAACTGCTGGGTACCATACTACCCTGTCACCCAACAAGCATTCTTATTACATGTCTCTTAGAGTAACATCTCCTGAGCGGTGCTCCTTCTGCATCCCCACCTATCAGTCAGTAAGGCTGTCACTCGTCTGGCAAGTAGGTGGGTCCTTGTATGAGTGCCCATTCACGGCAGCACTCCCCAATACCGAATGAGTCCCTCACCCCTGCCAGGCAGCTGAGGACCACAACCTCCAATGTAGCCCATTCATCTTGCCCTACACACAAATTTGAAAAATGGCTCACTGGGAGAAAACAATACCATGACCCTAGTGGGAAACCAAGCTTGTAGTGTTATGGATTACCAAACCACACTGACCTATTTTCCCGTGAAAGTTCAAATGGGAAAGGCAAACGAGACGTGCTGCCTTTGTCATTGTGGATTCCATCAGATGTTTTAAAGTAAGATTTAAATTGCATCTGTTGGATTTTTTTGCAATTGTGCTTTAAATCAGAACAAATATACAAAGAACCGCCCACTCAAACATTTCGTATTCAAATTTAGCATAGCAGTGTTAATGTTAGGGTGCCATTACTCTCTGTCTACTTAGAAAGGTTGACTGGACTGGCTTTAAAACTTAAACTTAATACAAGCAGTCCCCAGGTTATGAATGGGATTTGTTCGTAATTGTGTCTTTAAGAATTTGGAGGTCAGTGGGATCAGATGCATATGGTTCTTAATTAGCTTGACTTTTGTCCATGAGAAAATAACCCAGAGCCTTTTCAACAATTTAAAAGCTGTATAGGCAGCAAGTGAAGACAATTGTGATGAAGAATTTCTGAGAGTAGGATTTTGGTTCCATTGTTTGCAAATTAGGGTAAATTTACATAACATTAGAGCAGGGCTTCAAACGTGTGTGACTCTCCACCAAGAGAACTTCCTTGTTTTCCTCAGGAGCACTTGGTGGGTTTAAACCACTGACCTTGCAATTAGTAGCTCACCACTCATCTCTCAGTTCTATGAGGGCTCCCACCACTAACTCGATCTCATGCATTGGGTTCCTGTTAAGGGCTCTCTATAACTCTCTCCCAGTCCAGGGCTTTGACCCTTAAATCTCCCCATTCTGGTTGCCTCGGTGAATCCTCCAAATTGTCCGAATTCCAGTCTATTACTATTTTGCTTCAGTGGCCATGCCAGAACCCGTTTGAGTTCCTGCACCAAAGAGTTCATAGGAATTGCTCATACATCAGGCATTTGTAGCCTGTACTTACCAAAACGTTGGTTAACTGAGTCTAATCCTCCAATCCAATACTTAGAACATCCTACAAATGCTGGTTTTAAAATTTGCATTGCCATTATTTATCATCTGACATTTCAGTGCCACTGCCACCACCACCAGCACCCTTCCATTAAACTCGCCTCTCTTTTATTTTATCCATAATACCACCATCTAACAGCCTTGCATTCTGCTTCTTCACGTGTCTGGGTCTTTCCACCAGAACGTGAGTTCTACAAAGGCCTGGATCATTGTGACCATACTGTTCACTCCTAGCACTTCAGTGACTAGATATGCACCTGTAACCGAATAGGCCCTCAGATCTTGGTTGAGTGAATGGTTGAATCATGTTGCTGTGATTAGAAAATGTCTGTTTTAAATCTGACAGAACCACAAAGAAGGAAAGGCAGACGGCGAGTGTTTTGCCAACTAATGCACCACCTCACTGAAAACCATAAGATATGGAAGGACATCATAGAGGAAGAAGAAAAATGTAAAGCTGATGGGAACAAACTGCAGGTGGACAATTCTCCCTTACCTCAAGCAGATGAAATTCAGGTCATTGAAGAAGCCGATGAAGAGGAAGAGCGACAGTGTGAATAAGCAAAGGCACAGTGAAGAAGCCCCCTGCCCCAGGCTGAGCCAGGTGTCCCAAATCACGGCCTCATGTTCACTGTGCAGACGTCGAATGGACTCATTCCTGTGTGGACATGCCTTAATACTGTGAGAGGATCCCTGCTGTGCTGGCAGTTTCCCACTCCAATGCACTTTCACCACCTGGACTAGAGAATTGTTCTTAGAGCTTGGCCTGAGTTGACCCGTGTTCCAGAGCCTTTAATGCCTTCTCTGGGTGATTCATAGTGCTGCTTTGTTGAATAGCAAGCTCTTATTTTTCATGAGCTGGTGGCACACGGCTAAGGACTCAGCTGCTAACCGAAAGGTCAGCAGTTCAGCGGGGAAAGACATGGCAGTCTTGTCTGTTCCAGGAATGTTGGCCTTGGAAACCACCTGGGGCAGTACTACTCTGCCCTCTAGCGTTGCCCTGAGTTGGAATCAATTCAATGGCAATGGGTTGTGTTAGCTTTTTAGTTTTCATGAAGGGTAGCTATAACGCCAACGAACTCAAGTGTCTTACTTCCACCTCCAAGGTGGCCAGAACACTCTGTTGTCACGAAAACAGGATTCATCGGATGTCCAACTGTGTCTTACACCTTGGAATGTTTTTTAAAAGTCCACTGTGCCTATCTAAAAAGGAACCAGTGCTGCCTTCCTGAGGGATCTCGGCTCCATGCATCGCTCTCTCAAGCTAGATTGATTCACGAAGACTGAGTGCCCTTTGTTTTTAACAAAACCCAGGTGCATCAATTTCTGATGCTTTTACTTGCTGTGTATGGGCTATCGTGTGTTTCATTTCCACTCACTGTATTCAGGTTTGCCGTGGCCATCCGAAGTTGGAATTCCAGTCTCGTGGACTTTATGTTCAATGGTAGAATTTTAAAGCTGTTTAGGTTCCACAGTGAAGGGGTTGTGTTCTTTAATCCAAACTATTCTTGTTTTTACTTCTCAGGATTAGTAACTTTAAGCATTTAGTTAAACGCAGTACAGATTTGTTAGGGGAAAACAAGTTCTAATGTTGGTGTTAATCTCTCGTGAAACGTCATTTTCTCTCTTCTTAGATAAGACTAATTAAGCCGAGGATAAAGGAGGTTTCTGCCTTTGGCAATAAGGAAGAACTGGATGAAAGTAAGCCTATCAAAGATCAAGAACAAAAGACAGAGTAAGCTTTACAGCCCATGTCCACTCAGTAAATTAGTGCATGTGGCTGTCTGTAGATCCCTATCGTAGGTGCCACGTGTGGAGTGATTGTAAAACTGACATCCACCTTTCTGTTCATTTCCATCTGCCTCCGACGTTCTCACAGAAACGACTCCCTGACTACTCAGTCCTTCTAAAGCCCAACCGCAAGTCTCGTTTCTGGATCAATAGGGAACTTCCTTAATTTTTACACAGTAAATCTAAGTATTTCAGTAAATCATTTCACACAAAAGAACATAACTAGATAACCACATGATTAAGGTGATTGCAAAGAAAATGGACCATATTTACAATGTGTGTAAATTTGTCAGGGTGTGGATATATCCTTTACTTATGAAAGACATTTGACAATAGAATGAACTGCCAAAATAATAGCAAGATGTTAGGCTAGGGTATTTTCCCTTGTTCATGGAGACCATATCAGAGTATAAACTATTTTGGGATTCATTGTGGTTTTTATATACAGTGAAGCTATTAATTTTCCAAGGTAATTTTTTAAAAGTTTAAAACAGGCAATATCCTACCTACATAGAAGGTTTGGCTTGTCTGAGAGCTAGCAATTAAAGAACTTGGGAAGTGTTGTAATTTTGATCCTACACGGTATCATATTTAATGAATCACTAAACTTTATTTATTAGACACATGAAGTGTTGCATTCCTTCCTGACACTTTAACTACCATTGCCATATCCTTTGTAAACTGATCCTACCATATATTCCTGAGTAATAAAATTTTAATTGAGAATTTAACGAGCTTGAACTTGCCATGTATATATCGTGTTCATATTTCTCCAACGTACTTTTTCGTATCCTACAGAAGTATTTCTCTGCTATTGTGTTCTCTCGTGCAAAATCCATGTAAGTGCATATTTATCAGCTCATACATGTGCACATCTACATAGTGAAATTGAATCCAATTTCCATGCTTTCTATTTTATTGAAATTTGGTATTGGAGGTTCTTTAGATTTTTTTTTTCAAAAGAAGAATGTTTTCACTTTACTGAAGATACTATTAGACTAGAAACTCATTTTTAAATGTTTTAAAGTTATTAAAATTTGAAAAATTATTTAACCCTTGCTAATTTGTTGATGTACATAACAAGAGCTACCCCTAAAAAACTGAAAGGTATCCTTGCAGAAATTCTTAACTCATCGTTTTAATGAATAAATGTGAGACTCTATTAAATATACACAGTCCTAGTAGGTGGAATCTTACTTGAGAATTTGCTGTAAACCATGCAAAAGATCCTATTTTGATTACAGCTGAATTAGATATTTTATTCTAACAATTTTTCACCAGACTGTGCACTTTAAGTCACTGATCTTGGAAATCATCTTTCCGTGCTCTGTATCTGTGTGTCTGGTGAGACATGTTTTCCCATAAAAACACACTTTGCAGAGTTCTTTCACGATTTGAAGGCCTGGTTCTTTTATTTCCATCACTAACCTTGCTGGTGCTCTTGGTTTCTGTACTTGTTTTTATAAGAATTCTGGTAATACTTAAATAATCAGACATATCCTCTGTTTCTCTAGATTGCATTATCTCACAGAAACGGACTTCATATAAAAGATGAACATGCCCAACTCTGGTTCCTTTACTATGTAACTAAGAGGCTAATCTGACTGTCTCACGAGGGTTTGTGTTGGGGCAGGAAGGTGGGTAAGAGTTGTAGTTGGAGCAGGAAAGAAAGGTTTCTCAGGAGAAGGTAATTTTTAAGCTGAAAACTGGAAAATTGGAATTTTCTTAGCAGTCCTTGCTTGTACAGAGACTAGTGATACATGTAGAGGAAACATCCACATGGAGAGGAACCAAGAAAGACTTCAGGTGGCTGGAACACAGAGTGCGAGGAGGAGCAGTAGCGCAGAGTCGGTTAATCTAGGGCTTTGTTGTAGAGCACGTCATTTAAACTTCATCCAAAAGGAAAGGAAAAATAGATGAGGAATTTTAATCTGGGAGAGTGACATCATGAGGTTCACACTTTATAACGGTCTTTCAACTGGCATACTATGTAAATGGAAGCTCAATACTACACACAGGGAATTGAGAGCTGGAAGCTGTAGCATCAGAGGCACTGGCCACTAACTGGATGTGGTGGAAAGAGAAAACGGATGAGGGTGATTCTCATTTGGGCCCCTGTCACTGACATTGACCAAGACAGACCATATCAGGCAACGAGAAGACTTGGGGTGTGGCAGAGGGTAAGGAGATTGACTCTGTTTGAGGTAAATTGAGGATGAGGATCTTCTGAGACACGCTGGGGCTATAGACTTGGTAGTCAAGAGTCTATATCTAACAATGGAACCTATAGGGTGAAGTCAGATTACACGGTTTCTTTTTTTGTTTTTGTAGAGTAATAAGAGTCAAGTTGAGAACTCTGAAAAAAAACATCAACCCTAGAAGGCAGAGGAAATGGAGTCTTCTTTGTGTGTGATCATTTTATTGGGGGCTCGTACAACTCTTATTACAATCCACACATCCATCGTGTGTCAAGCACATTTGTACATTTGTAAACCTCATAATTCTCAGAACATTTGCTTCCTACTTGTGCCCTTGGTATCAGCTCATTTTCCCCCATCCTCCCTGACTCCCCTCCTACATGAACACTTGATAATTTATTATTATTTTGTCATGTCTTACACTGTCCGTCTCCCTTCACCCACTTTTCTGTTGTCTGTCCTCCAGGGAGGAGCTTATATGTAGATCCTTGTAATCGGTTCCTCCTTTCTCCCTCACCTTCCCGGTATTGCCACTCTCACCACTGGTCCTGAGGGGTTCATCTGTCCTGGATTCCATGTTTCCAGTTCATATCTGTACCAGTATACATCCTCTGGTCTAGCCGGATTTATAAGGTAGAATTGCGACCATGAAAGTGGGGGGAAGGAAGCATTTAAGAACTAGAGGAAAATTGTATGTTTTCTCATTGCTACCCTGCACCTTGACTGACTCGTCTCCTCCCTGTGACCCTTCTGTAATAGGATGTCCAGTTGCCTACAGATGGGCTTTGGGTCCCCACTCTGCACTCCCCCTCATTCACAATGATAGGATTTTTTTGTTCTTTGATGCCTGATACCTGATCCCTTTGACACCTTGTGGTCACACAGGCTGGTGTGCTTCTTCCATGTGGGCTTCGTTGCTTCTCAGCTAGATGGCCGCTTGTTTAGCTTCAAAGCCCAATGTCCATCTGCTAGCTTAATACTAAACCTATAAATATATGCACATAGATCTATTTTCCCATCATCATATATAAATATATTTACAAATGTACATGCCTGTAGTTCGACCTCTATAAATGCCCTTTGCCTCCTAGTTCTTTCCTCTATTTCCTTTTACTTTCCTCTTGTCCCATTATCATGCTCAGCCTTCATTTGGGTTTCAGTATACCTCTCGGTTACATTGCCCTTGATCAAACCTTACCAGGCCTCTTACATCCTCCTCAGCGCCGAATTTGGATCACTTGTTGTTCCCTTATCCCTAGGTTTGTTAACACCCACTTCCTTTCCCCCACCTCCCTCTCTGCCATGTCCCCCGAGAACCATCGGTCCGCTGTTTTCTCCTCCAGATTGTTTATCCTGCCTATCTGATCTAGATAGACCTGCAGAGGTAATAATATGCACAAAAACAAGACAGAGCAAAACAAAGCAATGAAAAAAAACAAAACAACAACAAAATGATAAAAAAATGAAAAGCCTGTAAATAGTTCAAGGTCTGTTTGTTGGCCTTTAGGAGTGTTTTCTGGTCGAGTCTAATGGGCCCCAAAGTCTATTTTTGGTACTCCCTTGGAACTTCCTTGCTCTGATCCCCTTGCTGTTCTGTTCCATGCCCTTAGTGTTTTGCCTCGGTGTGGTGGGGTCAGATCGGGCACAATTCCAACACTATGTCTCCAGTGTTGTCACCAGTAGGGCTATGGGCCAATGAAGGATGTCGTGTCTCATAGTGGGGCTGGCCCTATGGTCCTCTCTGTGCATTGGCTGCTCTGAGCAGGTATATCGTCCTCAAGGCTTGGTGGGTCCTCAAGGATGTGCTCCACTCTCTCTTCCTCTCCCTGCATTTGCTCCGGTGTGCTCTGATCAGACATGTTTCTCTCCCTGAGCTGTAGCTTCAGTGTTGTCTTCTGAAGTAAATTCTTCTAGGGGGAGGGGCCGGCCCCTCAGACCTCTCTACTGGTTCTCTGCTTCATGCCGGCATGTTGCATTCACATCTTGGAGCGCGGGGTTGAAGTCTGGTCCCTCTTTCCCTGTGGAGATATAGACAATACCCTCTCCTTGGGTGGGTTAGTGCCCTGTTCCCCTGCTACCAGAAATGGAGTCTTAATGACAAGTGGCTATAAAGCTTTGAGGAAAAACGAAGGGTAAAATGTGACAGAAGCCAAGCTAACAGTCTTTTAAGAAGAATAGGCAAGAATGTCAAATGTTACCTAAAAGATGAAATAATAAGAGGCCTGAATATGTTTCCATTGCTTTTAGCAACAAGGATGTCATTTCTGTCATTAGCAGAGCAAAGTAGGTCAATATAAATCTTTGTAAAGCATGTCATTTAAACTTCATCCTAAAGGAAAGGTGAAATGAAGAGTTTTAATCTGGGCGGGTGGCATCATTAGGGTCACATTTTAAAAGTATCTTTCAAAAACCATACTATGTTAAATGGAGTGAATTAAATGTTTCTGGAGGGGGTGTACAGTGAATTAAAGAGTAAGGGGGAAAACTCAATGAATGTAAGCTCCCGGCACTATAGTAGATTAGAGAAAGGGCCTTCCCAGGACAGAACACTGAGGTTCATTACTAGCTCATAGAAATATCTCTGAATTAAACAACAAAAGAAGGGCAAGCAGAGCAGGGGCAATAGGGCTACACCACATCTAAACTCAAGGTTAATCAGTGCCGAAACAGAAATATGACCTTAAGTCTTGGGTCTATACCAAGCTGAAGGAGCAGGATCTGAGCGTTCTTAGTTAAGCCAAAGGACCTTCGGGGCCAAAATGACTCCAGGTGAGTACTTCATATAATGCATTATGTTGTTTTTTAAATGAAAATAACCATGCATGATATGGTTAAAGAAATAAAAAATGGAATGACACAAAAAAAGAGCAAACAATAAGAGTGAGTTGTGGTCAATTACATGGCCCTTATAGCCAGGGTCCTTGTATGATACACAGTAGAACCCCGGACCTGACGCTAATCTGTTTTAGAAGGAGCTTTGAGATGCGATGCAGTCGAGTTCCGAATCAATTTTTCCCATAAATAACTGAAAATGGTCCACTCTCGACCACCAAGTTTTTACCCTAACCTTGCCTTTTTATACAAAACATGACACAGAAATTTCAAAGTAAATAAGTTTGGAGTTAAATAATATAATTTAAATAAGAAACACAACATTAAAAAAGATTTTAACAACCACAGTATGGCCCAAACCTTGAGATTGATGAAGATCTGGGTCTATGGGCATGGATGTGGAGAGGAGGGATGGAGAGAGTCACTGTTTGGAAGAGGAATCCCCTTCCAGAAAATCAACTGCTAGCTGCCTTTCAGTTTTTCCCCTTCTTTGCCTTTTTCCACTACGACCTGGCTGGCTTTTTATCACTATGCCATACTACTTCTCAGCTCCATACTTATGTTGTTGTTAGTTGAATTTTAGTTTAAAAAAAAAAATAGACTTTTTGTGCTGTAAATTGTTAAGGGTGTATATTCAGAAATCGTGTTTTTAGTTTAAAAAGATGAACACGTAATACATTCCATTTCCAATCACATTCTCA